CTTTGGTTTTCTTACAAACTAAGCTGTGGGAGCAGGAAGGGATTCCTTCCTCTCTCCTCTGCTGATCACAGCCACAAGCTTTGGCAATAAAGGCTGGATAATGGTACAGAGTTTTCCAAGCAAAAAAAAAGTGCTCTGGGTGTCAGTATTTGCTTTCTTCCCTTCTTTTCCAGAGGCTTAATTAAAAATAAATTGCTATTTGAAGCATGCAAAACACACCAAAAACTCCATTCAGGGTTGCTTTCCTCCTGTTCCCTGCAGAGGAAGGAGACTGGGCTGCTCTCTCCAGCCCAGCACTCAGAGCTCTGGAGCAGCCCTGAGGAGAAGGCAGAGCTTTGCTGTCAGCAGATGGTGGAATAGAAACGAGAAATACTTTCCAGAGAGTGTCTGGCACTATGGCAGCCTTGTCTGGAATCAGTTAGGAAGAGGACAAGGTCTTTGGTTGGTGTCTCCTTGCAGTGTCAACTTTAGCTTGTTGGAAAGTGCCCAGCTCATACTCAGAGATGGTTCTGTCCCCAGAAAACTCTTTGTTATGATATCACTGTTGGCTTTCGTCTGCAAATTACTGTACAACTTAAATGTCAGGATTCAAAACTTGAAGTGCACAGGATTTCTTCAGCCAGAAGCACAAATGAAATTTAGTTTGGTCTCCTGGCGAGACTTGCTTTCCCATTTATCAAACTGACATTCAAACCAAAGAAGTGAAAATACAGCTAAAATATCAGGTGCTGTTGAATGCCTGGAGGAGCCATGGCAGGAGTGCTGCTTTTCTTTCCCTCTTGTAATCAAATTTATCTACACTTCTGAGCAAACATCTGCGTGGAGTATTTAGTGGTTCTTTCTTTTTTCCCTTGGATCTGGTTTTGCATCTGCAGCAAGCTGAGAGCTCAGCCAGCTTGGGCTGGGTGTTTGTGGCTGGTGAAAACCCTTTCATGCTCACGGGCTCTGGGCTGTCCAAGTGCAGGCTCTCAAGCCTTGCTGGGCACCCCAGGTGTGTGAGTGAGCCAAACAGGAAAGATTCCAGCTTCCAAAAGACTGCCCTGCCCAGTAAAGCCAATTCTCAGCTTCAGGCTTTTCTGACTTTTGATGTGGGGCAGCAGCTCAGTTCCCACCAATAGCAGGACTTGCACAGGGCAGGTATGCCAAAGTCCTCTGCCTTTTCCAACCTCTCATCTTGTAGCTCAGCAGGATGAAAAAACTGTCTGTGCTTTTGCCATCTGTCATATTAAACCAGTTCTTAAACCAACTGTTGATACCTTAGTTGAAAAGGCTGTTTTTCTGAAGCTTTCCTCCCTCTGAATGGGATCTCCTGCCTTTCTTTTTCACATTTTCTGACCTCTTCTGCCTGATGTTGATATTTACTTCCTCTCCAGTGTCATGGTGCTGGGATCTGTCCTGTAGACCCTTCCTGTTGCTGCTTCTGTCGTTGCTGTTCTGCCTGGTGCTTGTGAAGCCCAGCAGATGTTTCCAGATGCTGCTCTGCAGGACGGGTCCATCCCCATCCCAGCTGCTTTGAGGGCTTCCTTGCTCCTAAGTCATGCTTTTCCCCTTTCATTTGAGATGAAGGAGGAATATTCCTGATACCCTGTCTCAGCCCCCCCGGTAGCCACGTGGCAGGGAAAGGGCACAGACCATTACCTGCACATCCCCTCCTGTTTGCTTCCTGAAGATGGAGCCCTGTTTATGGACAGACTTCACTGGAGTTCCCTCTGGGGAGAAGGGGAGAAACCACACAACAGAACAACAACCTCTTCTGTTCCCATGGGGAAACACCAACAAAACTCCCCAAGTAATTAGAAAGGTGGAAGTGGGGCAGAATTTCAATTTGTGGGGTTTTTCCTTATCCAGAAGTAAAATTATTTTGGTTTTGGGTCATGGCCACAAACCAGAGGAGTAACAAAGGGGATTTTTACGTTTATTTTTTTTCAGACATATCTGAGACATTGAGAAGGAATAATCATTTCCAATGGCCTAGAAAAAGAATGGGCAAGGGGGAGTGCAAAAGTGGCCCATAGAGCAGGAATTGCTGCTAGCCCTGCTTCAAAAGAAAAATAACAATCCTGCTGAAGGAAAGGGCATTGGAAAAAACACCCTGATACCATATTTTGTTCTTGACTTTGTGTTCACATTGTCAGAAGTGAGTGCCGTGGTTTATGCCTGTAAGGATGGCAGAACATTTTCTGTTCACTTCCTTCTTTGTCTCTTGCTGCTGAAGGTATCTTCTTTCAGGTTGAAACATCCCATGCTCAGCTGATTTTTGATGAAAAGATAAAGGTGTTTTACGCTTGAGGGAAAATAAACATCTCTTCTAAAGCTGATACAATAAAGTGAGGTGTGTGTGGTTTAGAATGGGTGTGTAGCTGAAAGAACTAAATCATAAAAAGGAAGATGGGCTTTGATTGTAGAGCAGCGTGGGTCTTTCTCCTTGGTTTGGGTTTGTCTCTGTGGTTCAGAGTTCAGGGTGAGCTGCAGTGGGAATGAATTGGATGTGACACTTCACCTCCCCAGGCTGGAGCCTGAATTTACAAGAGCTGCTTTTGCAGAAGGAGACAGATAGGAAGGAAGATGCAGCTCAGAAAAAATGCAATTTGTCGCAGTTCCTCTGCTTAGATTTTTTCTCAGCCTTAACTAACTAGTTACATGGAAAGCTTCTCTGGTTCCATGTGTCATTTTGAATGGGAAAGGAGAGAAGTAGGATAGGCTAAAACACCAGATCCAGGGGTCCAGCAGCACACTGGGTGGCTGATACACTTCAGGCAGAGGAGAAAGGATTTGCAGGAGAGTTAACAGCTTTCAGATCTTGTGAGGGATCTTCTTGGTCTCATGAATTAGGTACCATGTAGTTCTGGCTGTCATGACTCCAGGTGAAGTACAGGAAGGGCATTTCACAGGTGAGGGGCTTCCAGCAGGAGTGTGAGGCATCCATTTAAATATCAGCCTTAGTCTGGAGCTCTGATTCTTGGGCTGACACACTGCCAGTTGTGCTTTCATTGGCAGAGAAGAAATGTGATCTCATGAAACCTACTAGGTAGTGGAGATTGTTTCTGTAAAATTGGATGGGCCTGGTGTTGCCTGATAGGAGGTTGTGAATAAACCACCCAGCTTTCCAGGCAGTGGAAGCAGTGAGACATTTGGACACCAATGTTCACGGGCAGTAAGGAAGCTGTAAGTGCTTTTCTGCCCTTTGGCACAAGTGAAAGCAGAGCCTGGAGCATTTCTGCTGCCCTTGCTCCCTGCTGCTGCCCAGAAACCTGGAGGAGAGGAGGCACTCAAAGCAACATCAGCTGGATCTAGGATTGTCCTGCTCCTGTGGTTCAGAACATGACACAGTTGCTCACAGGGACACCTGGGTTACCACTGATAGGAGTGCAGAAGTGTTGGCAAAAGAGAGGGGATTTCTGGGCAATGCTGGCTGCCTTCTGCTTAGCTGTGGAGTATTTAATCTGCCCTCCTTGCTAGGTTTTGCCTGTCTCTGTATTTGTTGCCTGTTGCAAAGTGATGCTGTGTAAAACAGGAAATCCTCCCTTGCAGAGTTTATGCTGTGCTGCACAGGAGGAGGGGGCATGAGTTAAAATCCACCCTGTGAACTGATCAGCAGGAATGGCAGAGACCTTGTGGGTGTGCTGGGGGCTTGTTGCATTTTTATGTTTTGCCCCTGTTGCTGCTGGTGGTGCTGTGCTGTTGTCAGCCAGGAAGGGTAGGATTTGGGTTTGTAAACATGCACATTTCAGGAAGCAGCCGTGTTATGAAAGAGGAAATGCAGCTTTTGCTCAGTCTTTTGGAGAGGAGAAATGGAAGTGTTGCTTCTGTGCTTTGGAGAGTTCTCCCCTGTAGCTCACCCTTCTGAGGATGCAGGTGTGGCACAGCCGTGGTGGGGCTGTGCTTGCAGCTCACACGTGCAGGGCTGCTCCTCTGGGCATGCAGGGATGCATGCTGTCTCTCTGGGCATGCAGGGATGCATGCTGTCCCTCTGGGCATGCAGGGATGCATGCTGTCCCTCTGGGCATGCAGGGATGCATGCTGTCCCTCTGTGCATGCAGGGATGCATGCTGTCCCCCTGTGCATGCAGGGATGCACGCTGCTCTCTGTGCATGCAGGGATGCATGCCGTCCCTCTGGGCATGCAGGGATGCATGCTGTCCCCCTGTGCATGCAGGGATGCATGCTGTCCCTCTGGGCATGCAGGGATGCACACTGCTCTCTGGGCATGCAGAGATGCATGCTGCTCTCTGGGCATGCAGGGATGCATGCTGTCCCTCTGGGCATGCAGGGATGCATGCTGTCCCTCTGGGCATGCAGGGATGCACACTGTCCCTCTGTGCATGCAGGGATGCATGCTGTCCCCTTGTGCATGCAGGGATGCATGCTGTCCCTCTGTGCATGCAGGGATGCACTCTGTCCCCCTGTGCTGCATGGCTGTGCAGCCTCCCAGCCCGCAGCAGGACAGGCTGTCTGGCACCATGGCCTGCTGCCCTGCCACTGCTCCACATCCCAGCAGAACTGAACATATTTAGGTTTGTGTACAGTCCTGGTGGATGTCTGGCATAACATTCCTGCCTTGCAGCTGCATGGAATTTGATAGCTAAGTTTTCCTTACATGCTGTATCCATATAAACCATGTAAATTGTACTTTGAGGCTGATGAAAGTTAAAGTTTAGGAGTGCTTTGATTTGATTGTAGATCATTTTCTTATCCCTGTAGACCTGGGTTACAAGCAGAGTAGTTTCAGCAGATGAAGCTTGTGTGAGGGAATGTGAAAACTAGAGCATCAGAATCCTTCAAACAATTAAAACTGATGAAGAAAACAGAAATGCTCTTCTGACTTCTGCTGCTTTGAACAATGATATTATAGTGACACATCAGTTTTGTACAGGAGATGTGATGTGAACCTTATCCATGTGACACAACAGCAGCCAGAACCTTCTCCCCCTGGGTGTTTAATGCCTTACAGAAAAGTGCCTTGCAGACCCCTCATTTTGCTGTGCTTCTCACGTTTTCCAGTGTATTTGAAAAGGATCCCAATGGAGCAGATTCCAGTGTGAGTTCCAACCACCGGACCAGAAATCTTCTGGAGTTCTCAGCTGGCCAGGAGTCCAGCTCAGCTCAGGAGGTACCTGAGGGCATCATTTCCGAGAAGAGCGATAGGTGAGATCAAAACCTGTTGCATATTTTGGGTGGCAGAGGGCAGTGGTGCTCTCAGCCCTCACTGCCTTGCTCACCTTTTACAGTGCTCTTGCTGTTTTTACAGGGTACCTGAGCTCTAAAGACAGGGTTTTGAAAACTGCTCAGTTTTGCTTTTCAAATGAATGTGGTGTTTTATCTTCCAGAGGTAGCAGAGCTTCAGCAGTGTACCTGTGTCTGTGCTGCACAGTGTTGGGGAGGAGAGCACATCCACAAGTGCTTGTCACCAAGGCCTTCAGCACCTTCTTCATTTCAGCTCTTTGCTTTTCTCCTCTGATCTGTATTTCAGCTTGCATAGTTGTGATGTTTGTCATGCTGTCTATCTCTTCTTACTTTTTAAGCTGGAGTTTTTATTTTCTTAGTTGCTCGAGAGACGACTGGGGAAGTTCACAACTAAGAACACGCTCTGAACTTAGCAGTGTCTTTTTCATTTAAAAAAGTCCATCTGAGTCCATCCCTGTGCTTACCCATTATTTAATTAAATACTGACTTGCAGGCTTCCTAGATCTCCAGCATGCAGTACATAAGTGAACATATAATTGCCTCCAGATTGAAGTCTGGCTAGTACAGCTCATGTTTTCCCCTTACAAGATTTATCCTATTAGACTGTCCCTTTCCAGTGGAGTGTTTTGGCTGGTTGAACAAAGCCAGGCACAGATGTGCAGAAAGCCCTAATGTATTTTGCCATGCAGAAAGAAGGCAATAAATCAGGAGCATTTTAAGGCTGTAGCCATGGTGAGGGCTTTGTGTCCTACGTGGTGCATTTCAGACCTGTGGGACAGAAGAGGGGAGTGGTTCTCTTAGGAGGATGTGCTCGTGCCTGTGCCTCCTCTTCTTTCACTCTTTCACCCTGGGTTTGGCAAGCTGTGAGCTTTTCCTGCATACTCTTTATCAGTCCTAGATGCAGTGGAGAGGAGGAGCAGACAGGAAGTTGGAGGGAAAGCTGGGAAAGGGAGGGGACTATGAATAAGGCTTTCATGAGCCCTTATACCTGATTTTTCAGAAAGAAGTTGAGGTTCAGGAGCTACAAGTCTGTCAAAACCAAGAGGACTAAAGCTGTTACATTGAAAACCTGTCAGGAGAGAAACCTGCATTAGGTATTTGGTGATAAATTGTTAACCCCTCAGGAACTGCTGAGGGTGTTATGGATTTTTGTACTGAGAAATACGTGCTCCTTTTCACATTTTACCAAAACCAAGCAAGATTCTGGAGACAGAGATGTAAATCCTCTCCACTCAGCCACAGTTTGTGGCTGCTCAATTGTCATGTAGCTTATGGTCTTTCTATCTGCATGGTTTTAGTGGATAATAAATTTAGTATTTCTGGAGCAAGTCTTGCACAGCTCTGGAATAAAAAAGGAAGTTGTGTCTGCAGAGATTGCATAGTTTGCATACCATGAGGAATATTTTACAGACTACATATTCTATCAATATCTGACCTTCTTGGGAAGAGATCCAACATCTGCTGATGCTCATCTGTCTGCCCTGCACTGAGAGCTGCCAGCCCTCCTTGAGGGATTGACTGACAACATTGGATGTTTGATAGGAATGGTTACTCCCCTGTTTCAGAGCTCTCACGGGAGCAGCTGTGACATTCATGGCTCTGCTGGTGTCAGTGCTCATTCTTTGGCTTTGGTCAAAGTTATTTTAGGGATTTCTTGATGTGGTTTGTTGATTTTTCCCAGGTATGAGCGTTCTGTGTCTGACAACAAAGCACTAATGATAGTCTCAGAAGAACCACTGTTATATATTTCACCCCCAGCACCCCCCTGCCGGCCCCTGATCAACAGGACAGAGTCACTGAGGTGAGCAAACAACCAAAATGTTGAGCATTTCAAGTTTGTTAGGAGTTGGTCCATCAGGTCTGTGTTGCTGCTGTGAGTGATGCTGCTGTCCAGCCACGGTGTTCATCCAGTACATGGCCAGTGTCTGCCCTGTCCAGTGCCTGCTGTCATAAGGACAGATCCACTTGGATCTTTGTCATCTTTCCATGGATTCAGTAATGATTTGCACCACTCTCTTTTCAAACTGGTCATTTGCAATAACTCAATAACAATTTTCTGATTGTCTGGGGGGTTTTCACGACTTAAAATAGAAATCACTTCATGTGTAGAAATGTTAATGGAATGGAAATCAGGCCCAGCTAAAAGCCTTTCCCAAGAGAGTTGAGATGATAAGAGATAAATCTTCTATCTCTTCTGTTCTTCAGCTTCTGATAGAAGCAGGCTGAACCTGACATTGCAGGTGTTCTTTGTTCACTGTTAGAACTCTAACACCTGCCTCCACTTTTTCCATAAATACTGACCTTATCTCCATTCTCTTTGTCCGTTCTTTCTCTCAGATTTATTTGCCATAATTTGCCCTTAACCAATAATTTGTCTTGAATTGATCAGCTTTTGATTTTAAATTTCAGTAGTCCTTCCAGTAATTTCAAAATTACTGTTCATTGGGCAAAAGAAAGGGCTGTCTACTATTTGTGGGAACACCTGTGAATCTAATACTTTATAGATAAATCTTAAAATAGTATTTTCTTCCTGAGGTATTAAAAAGAAGCAGTCATAAGGTGAGATAATAGTAATCTTCAGTGTCTCTGATGTTTTGTAGTGGATACCTAGAACAGAGGCTAGACAAGATTGAGAGAGTAAAAGCAGGTATTTATTAAAGGCCTTCAATAGATACACCTTGGTCCACCCAGGGGCTACACCAAAAATGGAGCACAAGTTTTCACACTTCTCTAAGTTTGGTCCATTTGCATATGGGGGGTTAATCTTGCAGGTAATGAAGTCATTTACCCCAAGTTTGCTCCCCCAACTCACTTTTACATTTCTCAGGGCCTGAGGCAGTGAGGTGTCCTTGGTTCTCAGGCCTGGAGAGGAATTTTGTCTGGTCACAGTGTGAATGTGTTAGAGTTCCACACTAAAGAACTGCAGGATTACAAATCTATGAAAACCACAAAATCCCAGGGCATCTGTCTGGCAGCTGCAGTGCAGTGTGGCCCTGGTGGCAGTGCTGTTTGCAGTCTGTGCTGACTCTGGTTTCCTAGGCTGACCCACGAGCTGCGAGGATGGGTGCACAGGCACGAGGTGCAGCGGACGCGCTCCCGGCGGCTCAGCAACAGCCAGCAGCGAGCTCGAGTGCCACAGGTGTGCCCTGCCCTGTCCTGCTCATCCCTGCCCATCCCTGCCCATCCCTGCCCATCCCTGCCCTGTCCATCCCTGCC